CCCACCCCCACCCCAAGACCTGCTGCCACTTACCGCCTCAGTCTTCGGGCCTTGTCTCGTCATCTTAGGCGTACTGGCCGTGTCTCCTCTAGCCACCTCCTCAGAAACTGCATTCTCCCTGGTATTACTCAGAAAATCCACTTCATCATCAGCTTTTGTGTCTGGCATTTCTGAAGAGAACAAGGGGTTTGCAAAGCACATTTGAAAATCGATTTCTGTGCCTCACTATTTACACAACATGCTCCAGGTTTCGGGTGTTCTGTTTGTTTTTGCCTTGGTGCTAAAGGGAAAAGTATTCTTTGGCTTTCGGGAGCTGGTGTCATGTCTGACCCTGTGGTGAGCTATTCCTGTGTCACATGGTTGCATGGTTTTCCGCACCTTCGCGTGGGGTTGTAGCTAAGGGAAGATCCGATTCAATGTCTAATGAACTTCCATTTTCACTCACTGACTTTTCAGGACAAATCCATGCTGACTTACACATGGAAAAGTAAATTTACAGCTCCAAGGAAACAGACTGACAGCTGAAGCTAGGTAGTCCATTGTGACTACCATGGCGGAGCGCAATTATCTGCATTCGTACAGCAAGCACAGAAAGGAAAGAACTGCTGAGAATGAGATAAAGCCTTTGAAAAAAGTCTTTCTTTAAGAAACACACTACACACACTCATTTACCCAGAACTGCAATTGATAACACGAAACTATTCCACTAAGTTATTTCTTGTTTAAACTTTTGTTTCTTCCCACACCAAAACAACATCACAAACCAGCAAGTTCCTTGTTTTGAAGAAAAAGTTATTGTGTGTTTTCTTTAGAATTAAGCTCAACAGGCTGAACAGTCGTGGTTTTTGTTACCTGACCACCATTTGGTCAAGCAAATACAGACAGGAAGGAAGTGATAACACGATGGGTTGAAGCAAATTTAGGCTTTGACCCTCTTTAAAGGGGACTGCTGAGTGAATGTCAAAATTCGCCTTAGTAATCCAAATACAATTGGAACAACCGTCTAAATTTCACATGGCAAGTTTTCTGTAGTTGTTATTCATCTAGTCATGCCAGCACACTGGCAGAGATACCGTTCCCCACACCAAAGGGCAGACAGAGGTTTCTTTCACCAAAGAACAAATTATATTAAAGCTTTATTCTAATAGCATATTGTGACATGCGCAATGGTCTACCTCAGATTTAGGAAAGTTACATCTCTATAAACGAACATTCACAAATCTCCTTTCTTCCTCCTTTGCCCTTATAATTATATAATCTTGCCAACCATTTAAACATTGGCAACCAAGTTTCCTTGCCCAAAGAACCAAAATCTGTCCTACATTTCCAAAAAAAAAAAAAAGTGATTGAAGTTAAAAAGAAAAAACCTGACTAAGCAATCCTCATAGAAGTATTCCTTGATCAAAGCATTTCTAAGTGAGTTAGGAGTGCTTTATTTTTACTGCTGTTGATTTTTATTCTATTTATTTGGGGATGTGATTTTTGGCACAACCTTACTATCCTAATGCCCATCAACCGAAAATGCGTGTTTCTGACACGCAGCAGCCAGTCACAATGGCAGGCAGTGACTTCTGAGATGTGAGGAGTGGTGGCAGCCTGTGCAGGACTGGCCTGGCTCAGTCATGTCCAACTAGCTCCCCAAAGCACTGACCAACGAATGCTTCTTGACGGGTAGAGCGCCACAGCCTCTCTGTCTAACTGGAAGTTGTGTTTTCCCCGTTTCAATTTCTGTTTGGCTTGACCTACAGCAGTGCATAAAAACAGGAGCCAGTGTCCCTGGAGCTGCTTTCAAATCAGCAGTTAAACCCATGTCTCTTCGCTCACAAAACATGATGGTTATATTCATGGGTAGAATGTAAACTTCCCAGAAAATACCCTTTGGTGCTGAGATCACACTCAGGTGCTTTTTCTCTAAGGCAATGTGACCGGGGACTTTCCCCAATCCTGGCTTTTTTTCTGGGAGAAAAAAAAAAAAAAGCAGCTTCCATCACTGGCTACTTCTCTCTGTAGTTTGAGAACATGAGCACTGAGCACATATGACTCCTCTCGGTGGCAGAACAAGTAACCGCCCACACATATCCACCAACTGCCAAAACCCAGAGGTCCTGTTGAAACGTCATCTGTTTTCCTTCCTAAAACCTGAAAGTCTCAAAAATCATTTCTTGGCCTCTTTACTGTATTGACACACACAGCCAAGTCTGAAATGCTCCCTGCTTCCCACCTTTCCTCACCGGGTACCACAGACACCAAGCTCACGTAGTTCATACTTGCTTGGGTTAAATTCTGACTGAGCCAGAAAGAGGAATAATTCCAGCCCATGTGGCCAAAGACGTAGCGCCCTAATGAAAAGAACATGGAGCCAGGCATCGGCTTACAGCCACTCCCATTCTTCTGAAATGTCAACCTGCCAGGGCCCCCAAAATAGACTTGTTGTTGTGCCTTATTTTAAAAATTAGAGCCCTTATTTCTCTGATTTGAATTCTGAGATACCAGCCAACAAACCTCTGTCACTAACAATCTAAAACATTCGTAAGACTAAAAACCTGGAGTCACCAAAAAATACTTCCTCAGGTTTCTTAAATCCCTCAATTTGGGGGGAAAAGAAAAAAAAAGATTATAAATGGTTAAAAATGCTTCACCGGGGAAAAGGACTATTGTGTTTACATTGCTCTTTCTCCTAAGCAACTTCTTGTTCTATTTGTTCATTTCTCTACATACCCCCACCCGCACACTCTTAAGTGTGTGTGCTACACTTAGAGGATTTCCAGAAATTAGAAAGAACAGCAAAAACACAATCAAACAGTAAAAACAAAACAGGCCACTTCTTACCTACGGAAGCCTAGGGGCAAGCATGGAGGCAGGTCCTCTGTCTACACCTGGGAGCAGGGGGTGGTAGCAAACTGTGAACCAAACCGACCTTGAAACACCTCAGGAGTCAGTACTCCGTTTCGGCTTCAGCCTCCACCCTCGGTGAGTTTTCTTCTGAGAACTGACTCCCACCGAGCAGTAGTGGTTTCTTTCTCTTTGCTCTCTCTGGGCACCGTTACCCATAGATGGAGCAGGCTGCTGTGTGAGCAATCGGCTCACTGCAGCTGCTTCACCAAGATAAGCAGACACCACGTCTGCCCTGTGACAGCAGCGAAGCAGACTGGGCTGGGCGGAAATCCTGCATCCTATCCCTGCACTGAGCAGGGTCCTGAATTCCCAGACTGCTGCCCAAAAGTGACAGGTCCGCTCCTCGGGCAGGAAGAGGAGGGAGTGAGTTCCCTTCCCCAACCCTCACCAGTGACCTAATACCACCATTTGGGGTGTGGGGCCATGAGCTTAGAAGGATATAGTTATCTGTGACACCACTACATCTGCTCAGAGCACAGACTAGGATGATGGGGAAAGAGAGGAGTTTCAGGCTTATAAATAAAACACCTTCTCAGCACTGTTTCTCATGGCTCTAGAGCAGCAGTTCTCAACCTGTGGGTCGCGACCCCTTTGGGGTTCGAACGACCCTTTCACAGGGGTCGCCTAAGACCATCGGAAAACAAAAAGGTATTTACATGACGATGCATAACAGTAGCAAAATTAGAGTTATAGAGTAGCAGCGAAAATAATTTTATGGTTGGGGGTCACCGCAACATGAGGAACTGTATTAAGGGGTCGCGGCATTAGGAAGGTTGAGAACCGCTGCTCTAGAGACAAGGGCTAAACCACGTGAAAAAAACATCTGCTAAATCCCTTCAACTACTTGAAAGCACCAGTGATCTAGTAGGCAGTGTTCCAGGTTCCGAAAGTGATAACTGCTCCCGTGTGACAGACAGAGCGTGTACAGCCTTAAGCAATCAAGCCAGGAACCTACAAAATCTGTCCAGCCCCAAGATGATGCCTCTCCTGATGGTAGTGACGATGAACTTGGCAGCTACCCAACGCACACAAGACCTCCCAACAACAGACACTTCTATTTCTTAATTCTTCAGCACATCACAGAGGCTCCTGAGGGAATTTGCCCTCAGATTGCTAACTCCGTACTCTGCTTTGCTCACCTGTGGCCGGCTCTGGTCCTCGGACAGGCTGGGACATCTTCTGTGGCTCCTCCCTTCCGGCAGGAGGTCCTGCAAGGTTGCCAGGGGCCGCTTCACCAACACTGCCCGCGTGGGGGGTCTCCCCAGGCAGGAAAGCACTCCCCAGCTGCTCAGTCCCTGGGCCCGGCTCAGGACTGGACGGTGACATGTGACTGATGTTCCCCTCCGTGAACAGGGTTCCTGAGGCCTTGACTCGTTCTATGACGGCATCCACGATGCGACTTGCAGCTTCCTCGATCAAGTCAGCTTGCGTGGGCAGAGTCCCTGCTTCGGCAGACACAGTGCAAGGCGGAGGGGGACCACCCCCTTCGCTGCTCGGGGCCCTGTCATCACTGGGTGAGGGCCCCGTCTCTGCAGGGAGCTCTTCGGCAACAGGCTGTAGAGGGACGTGACGTGCATCATCATCATCCACGTGCGCCTGTTCGCAGTCACCCAAGCTGCAGCTTCGGTCAGCTCCCTCCAGCCTCGCTTTCTCCCAACCGAGAGGCACCATCTCCAGGGACGCAGCGCGATGGAGGTCAGTCACACCTTTGTCTGGCACAGCGCCTGGCAAACCCCGGACTGCATTCTTCTCCTGGCTCAACGAGACTTCGGGAGTCGGGAGGCCTTGAGCATTGCATGATGAATCCCGTACGGCCCTAGCAGCCCCTTGCAGAGCATCAACCACTGGCACATCCGCCGGCTCATTTCCACTCACCTCACAAGCAGGGCTCTTTCCCTGGGACTGAGTGTTTTTCACTCCAACATCCAGAGCCAAAGATCCATTGCAAGTGAGAGCTTCAGACCCACCTTGCAGCAGAGGTGAGCTGCTGCGCTCTGCACCCCGGGCTTCGTGGCTCAAGTCTGCAGCCAGACTTGCTCCTGGAGGCACCAGGCTCTGTGCAGCCCCACCTTCAGTCAGCAGTGAGACTGGTGGGGCCACTTCCTTGCTGTGTTTGGTTTCTGAGTTCAGACAGGCCAAGGGTGTGCCCTGTGTAGCACAGGGTTCCAGTGCTTTGTCCTCAGCACAGGCAGCTGAGCTAGGCTCTCCGCAGATGCCTGGTGCCTCGTGTCCAGGCGGGGCTACTCTCTGCTCTTCCTGAAACGTTCCTGAAGAAAGACTGTCATCCTTAATGGAGGAACAAATCACTGCTTTGACCTTGTCATCTTTTCCCCGAGCTGCAGAGCTTTCTAGAACCACCAGATTTTTTCCTTCATCAGCCAAACTGGAATCAGGGACCAAAGGGGCCTTACCCACATGCAGTATGGACGAGTCAGTGGTCCCCTCGATATTCAGACCTTCAGGAGCTGCTGAGAGGCAGGGCTCCCCGGGCTCCCCACCAAATCCTAAGAGGCTGTTCCCCATGCTGGGCTGGAGGTCCAGGGCAGGGGAGGAGGCAGGCAGGCCTGCTGTACTGGCTTCTAGCGGTGGCTTTTCTGGATCATTCGAATCTCGGCCATCTCTACAATCTCTATGTGGTTCAGGGGTTGCTGTTCCCTTTTCTTTCTGGGAGGGGACAAGAGACAGTGCGTCACCTTTGGTTACTGATTCACTGCTTGGACTGCTTGCCAAAGAGAAAGTCCTGCCTGATGTCACTGCCGGGCCTGGTCCTGGTTCTTTCTCAGCTTTGGGGACAACGGCATGTGGAGGTGGAACCGCCACGGGTATGTTTGTTAAAGATGTTTCTAACCTCCAATCTCTTCCTTGGCCCTCTTTACCCGGAACTTGGAGAGGACAAAACCCCACATCTTCCTGGGTGTCTCTTCCAGGGTCAGGGGTGGCTGTGCTAGCCTGTGGGCCTTCAGAGCAGACAGTAGGTGGATGTTGTGTGCTGGGCGGTCCTGCGGGGGTGCTGCCAGACGGGGTAGCTGAGTCACCAGGATGTCCTGCTGCCAACGCACCACTAGAAGTCACTATTCCTTGCTGCCATGCAGAGGCAGCACAAAGTTCATCGTTACCAGTTGTATAACAGATTGGTGATTTGCTGTTTGGGCTCTGAACACGAGATGAATTCGTGTCTGATTTCTGGCTTGGCATAACCTCTTTTTGTAGCCTGGAAAAGGTTACATCTGAGGGTGACACCGCCTCACATGGGTTTGCTAAGGGAGCGCCAGGTTCAGGCCCATCAAAAGTCTTGTCTTTTGCAGCAGCTGGGTTGATCAAAGGGTTCTGAGCTACAAGAGCACCAGCGCCCTCTTTACAACTTCTTGAAGTTTCAGTTTCTGCCGTTTTTTCAATGGAGTTTTCTCCATTACTAACTGCAAGTGAAGACTCAGCAGGTTTGTGGTCCCCCGGGGAGCTGGTGGCAGAGGCACAGGTGGGGACAGTGGCGTTATCCACAGGCATGCTGGTGCCTGTGCCTGTCGCCTCAGAGGCTGCAGCTGTGCTGACAGTAGAGTTCTCCAACGCTTCCTTTGTACTTTCCTCGACTTCAGGCATAACCTTCTGGGTGGTGGTCTCCGGGGTCAGAAGGCCACGCTCTGGCAGCCCTGCAGTCTTAGTCTCTGGGGCACTGGCACCTGCTGAACCGACTACTAGTTCACCTCCAGAGCCATGTGGGGCCGTGCCTGGCTCCAGGATCATGACCCCCGGCAGGACACCGTCTGTACCGCGCGCAGACGCCTGGTCTGTGGCCACTGCAGCAGGGTTCACTCCAGTCTCTTCGTCTCTGATTCCACGGGATGGAAGGCCTCCTGTGCCCCTCCCCCCACACTCAGACATGCTCTGAGGGCAGCTGCCGGGATCAGACACAGTTCCAGAGTCCACAGTAAGAGTTGGCTCCGCCTCTTCTTTTTTCTCCTCTCCTTTCTTTTTTTTCCTAGAGACACAGTCTTTTTTCTCTTCCTTACCCACTTGGGACAGGTCAGAGGCACTTTCAATCTGCCCAGCAGTGCTCCCTGAGCAGCACGGAGGGCACCCAGGATCTGCAGGAGGGGGAGAAAGTTGCTGGCCGTCTGGGGACATGGGCGCGCAGGAAAGACACTGCCCGTCTGTATTCTGGGCAGTGGGCAGGCCTGAGGGACCGTCTGCTGTCACCATTAAAGGCATCAGGCTGTCCATCTGCTTGAGGTTTGTTTTCTAGGCGGAAATAAAAGAAATGTTTTAAAAACTGTTCCTGGGAAAAGATGTCACTGACATCTATAAGCAAAAATCCTGTTAGAGAGAACTCACTGCCATTCCAGCCCTTCTGAGGTCACAGGATAAGCGGATCTAAATAAATACAAATAAATTTTCTCTTGTTCATGTTCTTCTCTTATAGCTGCATATCCCCTGGGATGATAAAAATGGTCAAAAATACACAAGATGACTATTTTCTGTATTATGAACTTATTTTAGAAAGTAGCTTAAACCTGAGCCTCAAAAACTTGATTTTAAAAATCCGAAGTGGGGAGTGGGGCGGTGGATTGGAGGAGGGGGTTGTCACTTTGTGAGGGGTAAAAAGTATAACTATTGCACTGTTTTGTACATCTAATAAAAAAACTAATGAAAAGAAAAAAAGAAAAATCAGGGGCGACCAGTTAGCTCAGTTGGTTAGAGCGCAGTATCATAACACCAAGGTTGCCGGTTTGATCCCTACATGGGCCGCTGAGCTGAGCCCTCCACAACTAGACTGAAACAACTACTTGACTTGGAGCTGATGGGTCCTAGAAAAACACACTGTTCCCCAATTAAAATAATTAAAAATAATAAAAAAATCATAGTGGCTATCTTCAAATGAGCAGCTGAAAATGACACTCTTTATAGGGTCTTCAGAGGGGCCTTATACATACAAGTAAAAACAAATCCTAACCAGCTGGGTAAATTCTCTTTGATCACAAGGCACAGGCAGAAGCTCTGTGCCCTAAATTCTTACTCAGGAGTTATAGAGTGCCCTTTAATCCCCAAAATATGCTCCATTCAGGGTAGCTTAACAGTTTCAGTTGTGGGTTCATAATTTCAAGAACAGTGGCATGGTAGATATTCTTTTACCTTTTAATAAAAGCAGTTCCTCTGTTGTCTAATACTAAATATTAAATAAGCACATCTAACTAAAATACCTAATTCTTATTATTCTCAGATGATACTGTGGTTGGAGGATATTTTAGGTCATCTCAAAAATGGTTTTTGCAACTTTAAAAGTATTTTTTAAAATGTAAAGACATGCCGGCCAAGTGGCTCAATTGGTTAAGGGCTCGCTCAAGAGTGTGAGCTCTGAGCAACAGTGGTTCAAGTCTCAGCCCGAGCTGAGCTGCCAAAAGGTGGCACAATGGCTCAGCTAAGAAAAAAAAAATGTAAAAACATGACCAACTACATGGTAATGGTTAAAATAACCTGATGGAAAATGCTGTGCAGTTAATATAAATGTTCACTATGAACACCAAAGTGAAATCAGAAAAATATTTATAATACAATGTAGAAAAAAAATAAAATCTTTAGTTAATCTAAGGTATTAAATATGCAAAAATCACATGTACATATAGATAAGACTTAGGAAAAACAGAGAAAAACAAACACAGCTGACCTTTAGGGGGAGTTTGTTTGCCTTTACATCGAAGTTACAGGAATTTTTATAATACTATTATTTATTCGGTACATAAAAACAACTTTTAAAACACCAGGTTTGCTCTTCAGTCGCTATCTGATCTATTCTAACAATCTTATGCCTATCTGCTGCCCACTGTCCTCTCGTTTATTTACTTGCTCAGTAAATACACTGAGCACTCACAATGCTCCATCATCAGACTAGTCCTTACTAGTCTGCTGGAAAAGCTTCCATGTGTAAGTGTAAAATGTGTGATTCTTACTAAAGGCCTTCCAATAAGAGAGCACAAACAAGGAAAACGGATTTTCGCTAAAAGCTTCTGGGCTATGCTCCTTACAGTATGCAAAGTTGGTTTGCTTCCGTTCCTGCGGAGAATATAACAGTCTCCTAAAAACTATGAAAGCTGGTCATGAAATTTAATGAAGGGTGGACACTATGGAAGAGACATTTTGAAAAACAGGTGGTGCTGCCTGAAAAATTTTAGACGCTCCTGACCCATGCATGTTCTTGCAGTTTCCATTTCTCATGGTTTCCTGTCAACCATTCTCATCCCCTGCGGGTAGCTTTGGCACCTGCAAACTGGTATTTTCAACTGGTCTAGCATTCACCTAAGAAGGAGAGCTCTAAAGGGCAAATGTGACTTCCTGTCAATCCTTCCAGAGGGAAATAAAATGACACCTATTCTGCAACAAACAGGATTCGGAAAGGCAGAGGCAGGCGCATCAGACAACCCGACTATGAGGCATCTTGGCCTGCTGGTCTCAAAAATAATGCCTGCTCCCCAGGCAGCCTCTGGCATGGAGCTGACCCTAGATGGCCTTAAATGAAATTACTGTCGAGCTTTTTCCAAATCAAATCAGCTTGAAATAAACTGGGTGGAAAAATGATCTAAACTTAGCCTTTCAGATGTTATGGCCAACGGAGATGTACCCATATGACATTTATATTATCCGTAACAAATGCCACCAGGGCGTCTGTTATGTTTTCATGTCTGGCACCAACTTTATCTCGAAGGCTTGAGTGGATTATAAAGTCTTTATTTTTTTAGTGATCTTTTTACCATACAACTATCGATTTAAATATAGTTGCACTATCATCACTCACTGAAATAGCTGTGAAAAGGCGCTTTCTTCTGAGTGAATTTGGGTCTTGTTCCTTAGCGACAATCTCAGAAGCTCCTATGCTTATTTAGGTTTATAAAGTTAAACCAACAAATTTATAAAGGTAAACAGACAATTTCCTTTCTTGCCAGGAAAATTTAGCTCTGGTGGTTGCCTATGTCTGTGTCTGCAGTGTGTCTGTGTATCCTTCATTATTTCAAAGCCCTGGCAAAAACCAATAAAAAGTTCAGTCTCCTATTGCTCCAACCGCAGTGCTAGTTCTGTATCTATACGCAGTAACATCAAATACTGTTCAAACCGCTTTATTTACGGATCTCGCCATCTTTGAGGGAAGCGTTTTTATGTTTTCATTATAGCAAGGCTCACTGGGGGGAGGAGTGAAGGCACAAAAGCCTGAAAATGGAAATTTTCTTCCTTACCATTAGCTGCTGTTGGATGTTCATAAGTTTAAAAATATGTCCAGTGCAACGGTCTCCAGGAAGCGGGTGTTCGTCGTGTGCCTGGGACTCGGCGGTTAACGTGTAGACGTCCAGCTCTCGATGGTGCCTCACAGAACAGTCTCCATAAGGTATTTCGTAGGACAAACTGCTCCAGGAGTCTGGTTCTCCAGCATTCTCCCTGTAAGCAAGCAGTCTCTCGTTAATGCACAGGAATGTCCTGCCTCCCAAGCATAGGTCTGACCCACAAAGGCTGATGGAAGAGTGCGAACATGATTGCTTTGGAGGTTCGGTAGCAGAAATTTGGTTTGGACAGTTCCCCAGTGATTCAGGCATATAACTGCTCCATCCTCCTCACAAGAGGTCACAAATGGATTAAATGAGAACTGCAGGATTCCTCCCTTAGGATGTCCTTTTGATTGACATAAAGAGAAGTCTGGGATCTTAAAATAGTTAATATTATGCTAACAGCCAAATAATGAGGAAATGTAAAGAGGATGGTTCCAGCCTGGTGTTCAACAGAAGCAAGGCTTATTAAGCATTTCTCTTAAAAGAGGTGACACCATGTGCCAATACTAATTACACTGGGAAGGGAAGATGCGCACTGCGACCCATGCAAGAAAACGGCACTCCAACTTTTATTAACAGTTAGCTGGAGGGGGCACCCTCAAAATTCTCCAAGTCAATGACATCGAGAAAACTGCCACAATGCCATGTCACATTACGCTGGTCAGTACCATGATCAGATCTTATTTTGAATGAATGAAGCACTCGGTTCCAAGAGCAGCAAGTTAAATTTTTTTTAATTTAAAAACCAGAAGTTTGCTCAACTCGGATCAGTACTGTGAACAGAAAAAGGGGCCACACACTAAACCTGAGAAGCTCAGGGGAGGCCTGCAAGTGGACCCTACAAACTCAGAGATCGAAAGTAATCACAGAGGATGGTCCAAGCATAAAAACTGCTAAATAAAGGCGAGTCATGGTGGGTACCCACGTCCTGAACCTGTCGCTTCCTTGACAAATGTCAATCTTAACTTTAAATGAGCCTGTCTATTGTCTTTTTGCCGCTAAGATAACATAGCTATGAAATGTCAGTCATTCCTTTTTTCCGGACCCCTCAGGGTACTACCTCGCCCCAGAGCACGGGACCACAGAGCCCCTCACTGTTATCTTGTTCCCCCGAATACCATCTCCATGTGCTATAAATGTTAATAATTATCCTGTACTCACCAGTGTAAAAAAAGTATGTGTCCCTCAGTTTTCCTTTTTATCCAATCCCAAAAATGTCCCCGATTTGCTTTCTACCAACCCCTTAGTCTACCACCAACAGGCGTCCTGTAACCCTCCTATGATACTAATGTATAAAATAAGCTACAAAACTGCCCTTCTCCAGGGCGTTTTCTCAGTCCATTGATATTTTTTTGCTTCCTGGCAACTGTTGTCAGTTTGGCTCAAATAAACTCATAAAAATTCTCTACAAGTTGGTAGGTTTCTTACATCATTATAAACATACCTCATAAACAAATAAAGCTGACACTGGCATGGGTGTGTAAAAAAACATTTCTGGGATGGGCCTCAACACCTGACACGTCTTTCTGTGGTTTTCTCTAATGAACCAGGATTTCTCAAGTATCCCAGGGACTCCGGAAGACGGAGGGAGCTTATGTTTGCGATCAAGTCTGAAAATGGAAGACGCTAAAGAATTAAGATGAGACATGCTACCCACTGACAAACATGAAAGAGAAACACTACTTGAACTCTCCTTCCAGTGTCTTGTGTATGCAGTCATAGCTATCTGTCACTAACCATTCACCAGAGGAGACGTGGAATTTGAAAGCTAAAAATATGCTGGCGTGGACACCCTATAACAAACTGGAGAATCATATACTCGCTGCTCACAAAGAAAACTACTGTGGTTTGCGTACTCGAGAGTGGCTCCCAAGAGATGCTTAAGATGAACTTGGCATATTTGCTGCACTCAATGGTGTATGTATTTACCAAGCTGCTCTATTCTGAGTAAAGTGACCTCAAGCAGAAAAGTACCTATAAGATAGTCACGTAAAAGTTCAACTGAATGACTCAATGAGAGAGTCAATCGGCTATACCTTTTGTGGGGTGGCAACGTTTCTGTAAATTCAACTTTGAAGCTTGGACTGACATTGTCACTAACTCTGCTTAATTAATTGTCTGATAGACATTACTGGCATATCTGCTTACTTCGATTACCGCATATAGCCACAATCCAATAAGAAAAGGCCTTTGAAAGCAAAACTTGATTTATATACCGCCATTCAGTGTGAACCAAATACAACAAGCTAAGATGGGGCTGTTAGCCAAGGCAGAAACAATTAAAAAGTGACGACCGTTCCCAGCAAAATGGCGTTTGCTACCAACCTTGCCACTATTAATTCTCAAACTTTTCCCCTTCTAATATGTAGACCTTGGGAAATTCCCTCCTGTAACCACAGCCTATTTACCATCTCCTTCTCCCAGGCTCTCTTTCCAGAGGAATGTGCTTTTGTTGCCATAGTTACCTCCCAGCGCTAACCCTTCAGTCTCCCCAATTCATTGTCCCTGTGGATTTTTGTTGCTTCTAGTCCGTCTAGATACCAACGTAATTATTCTCCCGTAATTATTCTCCCACTGACTTCCGTGAATATTTGTTGCAACTGACACTCTTACAAGCCCATCCCGCCTGCAGGTCTGGGTAAAGCCCACCATTCAGCAAGGATTTACGTGCCAGGTACCATTCCAAAGGGTTGGTGATACAAGCCAACATCCTGGTCCGGCCAGAGCTTAGATACTTAGCAAGTGAAGTTAAGAGCATTCGGGGTTGAGAAAGCACCTAGTGTTTTGGAAAACAGCAAGAGCTAAGGAGAAAAATAAAGCAGATAGGAGAGTTGCAGTTTTAAACGTGATGGGTCAGGGAAGGCCTCATTGAGGTAACATCGAAGCCAGTTCACTTCCTGCTCTGTGTTCAGCCCTGTATAAAACCTTTACTGGGTCCACTGATAAAACCTAGCAAAGCTCTATGTATAAGGATGTTTACTGCAACTTCAAGTATAATAGTTTTAAAAATGAGAAACAGCCTAACCATGTCAGTAATTAGAGGGCTGCTTGCTAAAGAACCAGATCTACAGACTATTACGTCGTCATTAAAAATTACTGAAATAACGGTTCAAATCTACAGTGTTCAATGAAATTAGCACCATAAAAAGGGGGAAAACATGTAGGCAAGTCTAGACAGCAAAAAGCACACAAAAAAATAGTGTCAGGGTAGTCAGGTTATAGGTTTTCCTCTTCCTCAATATTTTAGTTAACGTTTTTAACACATTTTTTTCAGTCCCTATTCGGCCAGGCCTCGTTGACGCTCAGTTTTTACTCACTTGTGTGTTCATCCATCCCACACCCAGGTTGCTGAAACTTACTGTAATCTCCTCAAAGGCCCCACATTAACCCTGTCTGATTCTCAGGCGACCTTTCTTCTCTCTTAGCGAGAAGCCGGAGGCTATCCACCCGGAGCTAAAACAATCTTCACACACCAGTAATGCCTCTGCCCACCCCCTCCAACTTCAAGGATGCCTCTTCTAACCAGTGGGTCTGCTGCTTCCTCCTGCCCGCTTTAGGTTCCTGATTCAGTCATCATCCCCTGGATGCCTGGAGTTTTTCACCTGCTTCCCGACTAGATCCTTCCCCACCCACCGATGAGAACGATTAAAACCTCAGCAGTGGACGGGGCGGCACAGCAGTCAAAGCGATCCCAGTGGCGGGCAGAAACAATCCGTATTCAACCCTGTAGACCTGGCGCCCAGCAGACATCCGACAATGTCTGGAGACATTTCTGATTGTCACACTTTGGGTGTGTGTGTGTGTGGGGGGGGGGGTCCTCCAATGCACAGAACAGCTCCCTACAACAGAGTCATCAGGCCCAAACTGTCAGCAGCACTGAGGTGGAAAGACCTGCTGGAAAGCCACTCCACCACCTTCTGTCTGGCCCCTTCCCTGCAATTTGGTTCCATCTCACTCCCACTGCTACTGAGGCTTCTTTGGCATCGGTCCCCATGGACAACAAGATCCCCAAAGCCGGGGTCCCTTCTTTATCCCCATCATCCTTGAGTTTTATAGAATTTTAAAATGCTGATCGGATCGTTCTTTTCAAAGTGACTCTCACTTGACAGTCTCAGAGAACCATCCTGTTCACCCACTGATTCTCTCTGGCTCTGTTTTCTTCTCACATCTTCAAGAGCCTCGAAAATAACTACAAAGGCCACAGAAATAGATAGGTGCGTGATAAAGTGAAAATACTGAAATGCAAAGTAGAATTTCAGATGTAAATGTTAAAAAGGAAAAAAACTCTGCCATGTGGGAGGTAATAATGAAATAAACATGTCTTGTGGTGGTGGCATCATGAGTATTATTATATATCACTTAATTGTTAAAAAACAAATACTAATTCTCCCTCCTTGTTATCCTTCTGGCTTCGGGCTTACGTCAGAGGACAGAGACAGCACAGTACAGATGTCACCAAGAGTGACTTTCAGGGGACACAGAGAAAGAAACCATGATACAGTTACATTCAATTCATCCCCAGACCAACACAAGGCACTTCACACAGGTCCTCAGCTAGGAAACAAACCAGACGTGATTAGATAGGGATTTTTATGTAAGGGCCAGTTGGATTTCTAGTCCTATAAAGCTATGGTGCTGTCTCACAGAACTTAGCATTCTATTCCACGGCAGTTATTGGCTTCATAACTAACTATTGTCCTCTGCATACAAACTGCTTGATGTTACTTAGTTACAGTGAAAGCAGAGGCAGGTGAAAATGATTTTGAAAGGGAGACCATTATCACTGCTGACTAAAATTGAACTCTAGGCTGGGAAAACAAACATAAATGCTTACAGAATAATCTGAAACTTGGGAAGAATAATAAAGCTGGATAAAATAATTTCAAACTGATGACAGAAAACAGATCAGGAAGAAAAGTCCAGGACCCATCCATTAGGAGAGAGATAACATGTCTTTAAAATGTTTCTTTAGCGTTCTCGTGGAGCAAACACACAAAACAAAAATCAAATAGCAACCCTATGTCTACCGATTTAAATAACCTAATCACAAAAGAGAGAAAGGAATGCACATCCATTTCTTCCAGTCTTACTTCTGAAAAGCATTTGAAACTC